CAGTTTCATAACTTTGCGATTTTTTTTTACTTCTCCTTTTGTTAGATGATGCGACTAACGGAAGGCAACACGATTGAAAAGTAATTGTATCATTAATCATACCGCGTTGCCGTTATGAAATCCAATATTATTATCAATAACTACACGAGAAGCTCTTGTTCGGTTGTTGTACATTCGGCTCGTAATTCATTACTGCATTTTGTAAAGAACCAACAATTCGACGAAAATCAACGCTTTAATTTATTTAGTTGTAGCTACGATAAATGGGACAAGCGTCTTTGAAAAGAGCCTAATTATTCGCTTCCTACTTGATCTTTTACTTTTTCTCTACGTTTTTCGCTTATAAAATCGCCTGCGGGTTAGCACTGCACGTTCAATATTTGAAAAGGCAATTCTTTTAATGACACACTTATTTCTTAACCCACTTCAATTACGGTTTCCTGTGCCTACTACTTTTTAAGTTCGTTTGATGTGGTTCAATTAATTATTTCTCTAAATGTTTTTATTATTCCATACGAACTTATTGTAATAGCTGTCCGTGAGAATGACAAGTTTTGAGTTTGAGATTATTATCTGCAAGGCAATGTTTTTCAATGTTGTAATTTCATGAAGTGCTTATTGTTTCCTTTGGAATGTTTAAAAAGCAATTTATTATACTCTAACAAACTTGTGGGCATTTGGCCAAACGATCCCGATAAACCTTGATCCTAAACGAATTTCGAAGCCTAAGATCTGGTACTGCTGGATATACAGGAAAATAGTGCTTTTGATGGAGCATGGTTACGGTTAACTGAATATGGAAATTGGAGAAAAATTAGGAATACTTTAATCTATTCTACCACAAAATGTTTTTCACATTTCACTTACTTATACAGGGTGGCCATTTGAAAACGAAACAGAGCCTATTTTGGGAACCTCAAAACATTTACGAAAAAATCCTCGGACCCGTCAATTTTTGATTCAAGGGGGAACCATTTTTTTTGCTAGCCCCCAAAATTTTAAATCGAATGGGGAGTCGAGTGATAACTTATTTCGAAGGTATTTTTATGTGGATTATAACACTTAACTTTTAAATCGCTACTAATTTGCCTAGCCGATACAGGGGCTAATAAAAGTTACAAAAACGTGTCAACATTTTCTTATGAAAAAGAAATGTTTGTAAATGAATTAGTTAAATAACAAAAATTAATACAACAATAAATACAAAAAATGTTGTTCTCCTACATTCTGAATCGTACTTTTTGTTGTTTTTTTTTCTTTTTAATACCTGTAGGTACCTAGGTGGCTATGCCAATTCTGCAACGGAAATCTTGGTTATTGTTGAGAGCGTTATTATAGCAACATTTTAAAGTTTAATAGTGATTGTCAATTGTTGTTGTCAAATCATAGTAGGGACAAATAGCACTTTAAAGTTATTTAGTTGCAAAATCGGCACATTGAACAGTGATAATGGTTTATTCACTTGCTGAAAGAGTTGAAATAAATGCTCCTTTTTCTATTGGGCTGATTCAAATCCCAGAATATTTCGTGAGGTGCATACACAACATCCCGAAAAATTGAAGGTTTGGGCTGGCATTTTTGGTAACCATATCCTAGGCTCCTTCTTTTTACCTGACAATCTAACAGGAGAGATGTACCTGGAGTTATTAGAAAAAATACGATTCATCCAGCATTAGTGGAGATACTAGAAAATAACAACGAGTACTTGGAAAATCGTCTAGTATTTCAGCAGTGCGCCACCCCACTATGCTGCAAGGGTTCGTCAATATTTGGACCAAACGTTTCCAGGGCAATGGATTGGAAGAAGAGGAGCTATTGAATGGCCTCCTCGTTCCCCGGACTTAAGTCCGTTAGATTTTTTTTATGGGGGCATTTAAAAACTAAAATGTATGCTAGTCAGCCAACATCGTTAGACAACTTGCGACAAAGAATAATTGATGAATGTCGTCTAATCACCCCAGGAGTTTTGCAAAAAGTACGGGAAAGGTTTGAACAAAACCTGTATTATTGTATGGAAGTCGAAGGCCAACATTTTTAACATTTACTTGATTGATTTTAGCTTTAAGCACTTAAAATAAAATTGATTTAAATTTAAGAGTTATAATCTACATAAAAATACCTTTAAAATAAGGTATCACTCGACCCCTCATTCGATTTAAAATTTTGGGGGCACTTGTCACCCCCTGCTATGGCTTTGCCCCCAGGGGGGCGAAACTAGCAAAAAAATGGTTCCTCCTTGAATCAAAAATTGACGGGTCCGAGGATTTTTTCGTAAATGTTTTGAGGTCCCCAAAATAGGCTCTGTTTCGTTTTCAAATGGCCACCCTGCATGTTACACACCTCGTTACACACTGTATAATATTTTGAATAAGACTCCTTAGGATTTAAAATCAACAGAAGTCCTTGAAGGCCAATAGATACTCTAAACTCTAAAGGCTCTAAAAAACGTAGAACTTTTTGAATTAATTAAATTAAAGATAAAATGCCCGTTCATTTTTCTTGGAGATCTATGAAATGTTTTGGAGAATCTCATGATTCTTATTATATGTATTATTATATATTATTTAGAAACTTGTAAAGAAAGCCCTATAACTAATACGGATAATTACTCATTTTATTCACTCCGAAGCTATTAAATGGGCTTAAATATGCCTTCGGTTCTCACGGCGTTGTCCGATGACACTTATGAGATGATTTTACTCTCGTGCAAAACGTACAGTACATACCGAGCGATAAGAAGTAATCACCAAAAAAGTCACAAAAAAGTGGCACAGGGTCATAAAAACCACAAATGTCGAACTTCGAAAATAGCTGAGATACACTGCAGCCTCAACCAAAATAGGACACAATTATGAGTAGGCATGGGAATTTTTTTCGATATATCGATAGGTATCGATAGTTATCGATATATCGAATAACAATAGGTAGAGCTAAAAAAATCGATATATCGATACTTATCGATAAGTATCGATATATCGATACCTATCGATATGTCGATAACTATCGATATGTCGAAACTATCGATATATCGATATGTCGATAACTATTGATATATCGATATGTCGATATCTATCGATATATCGATATGTCGATATCTATCGATATATCGATATGTCGATAACTATTGATATATCGTTATGTCGATAACTATCGATATATCGATATGTCGATAACTATTGATATATCGATATGTCGATAACTATTGGTACGATAAAATTATGTTATTGTTGAGATTTCAACGAGCGCTACTATTTTTATTAATAAAATCCATTTTCGGGTTTACTCTCGTGTAAATTTACTATTTTTAGTTGCTCGACGTTTCGGAAACTTAACTTTGCTCCCTTTCTCAAGAGAAGCGCTACGTCACATCATCATCCATGCCAAATAAACGCAGTAATAAAATCTTTAGAAAATAGATCTTTTCGTCTTACTGACGATTGCTAAAAAAAAGAAGCACTTCAAAAACTTGAACAAAATGTTGCATCAAAATGGCTACTCTTTAGATAAAATAAAGAAGACAATCAAAGGGTGTAATCATGGCCTATGTATCGGTACCTGATTGATGGTTACAGAGGACCAGTCACAAAAAAACAGAAAAAGCTAAGAACACTTCAAATTTAGATATACAGTTTCAATTGATTGACATTTACGAAATCTAACAAAAAAACTCTTGATAAAGGTAGCAAAGAAACGTCGAGTAACTATTAATAGTCACTTTACACGAGAATAAACCGGAAAATGGATTTTATTAATAAAACTCGATAAGATAACTATCCCTGTCGATAACTATCGATACGTCGAATATTTCTCTCAAATGAGGCGTGCAATTACCGCTTAATTACAGCGGTAATTGAATTGTAGAAAGCTAAAGAGCCCTGCGATAATTGCACATTTAATATGGTAACTCCATTAAAGTTGCAAGAACTGCATTGGGTTATTTTCATATTTTGTTAAAAGAGCCCTCTTGTCTTGTCGGGCTCTTTCGCCAAAATATAAAAGTAAACTCATGCAGTTTTTAGACACGCTTTCAAAAAAATTATCGGTAATATTATATCGATACCTATATATTAAAAACTATCGCCATAACGAGAACTATCGATATACCGAAACTTATCGATATAGCGGCAGTTATCGATCTTTCGATAGTTATCGGTGTATCGATAACCATCGATATTTCGATAATTATCGGCATATCGATAAGTAAAATATATCGATAGGTAAGTACCCGATACTTATATCGATGGGTGAAAACAGTTATCGCCCATCCCTAATTATGAGGGTGTGTCCCACGCCACCTCTGACCGCACAATACATTTTGAAACACAATTTTGCTTGCCCAAATCTCATTTCAAAAATTAACCTTGTGTAAATTTTTCGAATGTTCACTTCGAAGGAAGAGTCCTTCTGAAGCAAATTAGACCGACTCCGTTCCCTTTGGTGCTAGGTATATAAAATTATTATGAGTAGAAAGAAATTAAACTGGTAGAAGTTACCGTTTTCATCGTTTACTAGTAGGTACGTGGTAATCTGAACGTTGTTGTAAGATTGCAAAAAAGGACCTTCAACGCATATATGCTCCAGATGTCTGAAAAATTAACCTCGAAGTCCCCGTTTTTATGCAACCAACGTAAATTAACAATAATTACAGGTCTTCGATAGATGCTGTTTTTTGGCAAAACAAGACAAGGCAAAAAATGACCGCCGGTATTGAGATTCGCTGTAAACATTGAATAAAAACACTATTTTTATTCAATGCTGTAAATCAGTTCTCTTGTCCTTTTTTATCCTCGTTCATGCAGGAAGTGCATAAAAGTATTTTCTAATTAAAATCCAAATACCTCTGCAAGTAATGTAAAATAAAAGGACGTTTGCGTACAGCCTTCAAATAATACATCATGTCCGAAAGTGCCTATGAAACCTAACGCACGCCGTAGCGTATATTAATGGCGGAATTACAGTGGAGTTAATTAAAAGTCAAAATATCAATTATAAATAGATACCTTTACAAACCAGTCTGGCCGAATGATGGATCACAGCGCAATTTTTCCATAGATCTTACCTGCAAGTGAAAGAAAAACATCTTAAGTGTGTTATATTCCATATAAATGAGAACGAAAATAAAAAAAAACACGCCATAAATTATGTAAGTTACCGTAAAGTGTAATTAACAAAAGCATAAATAATGGATATAACAGCGTGTCATGAGATTTTCCATTGTTTTTAAAGTCCGACTCAATTTTGACGGATAATTTAATTACCGCGACGACGTTGAGTAAATGTACCATCGACAATTAAAAAAAAACGCCCTGTAAAAAAGGCGGAAATTTCCCATTCGGGCGATAATCAACCTTGCAATCGATTACATTCATTTCATGAGATCATGAAACTCTCGATGCAACACACCTGAATTCGTGAAGAATATTGTTTGATGCATTATTGCGGTAGGCCTTGTATGCAACCCTGATTAACGGCGTCATTGCAGGTCAGGAATGCTATTCATCTGTCTGTATACCAAAATTGGAAATTGCAATAAATGTATCGTAATTATTTTGCCCGATTGGGATTATTTTAATATAACTGCTTCCCCAGTTCACCACACCCCAATTTGTTATTTTTCTAGTCAATATTTGGAAAAATGAAATTTTTAGGACTAGAATATACCTACCAAGTTATCTTTATTTTTTCTGATTAGTTGAGACACAGTTCCAAAAATAGGGGGTTGCCATTAAAAAAATTTAGTTTTAACGATTTCTTTAATTCAATTTTTAATGTTAGTTCTTGAACTCGGATTTACCTACTTTCACCCAAATTCGCCATGAAATGTTCATTTTCATGCCTACTTTATGTGAGGAAATTTTATTTCCATGATACTTTACTTTTACATGATTACTTTTCCTGTCGCCTGTCACTTTTCCGGCCGCATTTGTCGCCTTGGGTCGCCTTGAAATTTTATATATTACAATACGATTTCGGGTAAAATTTGATACAAAAGTCGTCAACTTGACTCGGAAGTTAAAGCCTCTCGCTAGTAATGTGTCATTTGTCTGACTTTTATGTAAATAACTTCGTAAATAACTAATCATCAAAATATCATAAGAGGAAACGAAACTCCAAACGTGATTTTTGACATAAAAATAAGAATATATTATAAACGGCAAACTTTAGAGACCGCAAATTAGACACAATATAGGTATATACAGGGTGGTGCCTAGCGCGACGCAGCATAGGGATTTCAATGGTAATTTCGTTATAGTCAATTACTAGCTCCCCTAATTATTTTAGAGCAAAAGTCTAAATACGTTTTTTTTTAGAGAAAAATGCATCTGTTCATACTTTTAGTTATAATTTTCCATTTTTCAAAACCGTAGAAATCGACAAAATAAAAAATTACATTTTTATACATCAGTGATGCTTTGGAATCTTTTAACAAACTACAAGCGCATCGCATCTAAGTTATCGTTGTTTGACGTCGAATGATTTTCATATTTAATTCTGTTTCAACTAACCGACGCAATAAAAGGCATCTTAGGGTAATGTTTTTTAGAGAATGTATGCTGCATCTGCATCAGATACTATTTGTTTATCATTTTCCGGAATCAGAGTAGGTACCTACATAATCGAAGAAAAAAACTGATTTGAAGAAGATTTGTTCCTAAACTTATATTTGGATTTTCCGCTACTGCAGCCAAATCGTTCAATGTATTGTCGTTTTCCTGATGGTTTTGACGGACATTTTGAACGTTATTGCACTTGCAGTTCTTTAACTAATTTATAAACAAGTACAAATTTAATAAACGTCAAAACGTGATCGCTGTTTTTTTAGATAATTCCAACGCATATTTGATTTATTGTAAAATGAACATTTTTATTTTGGCGATTTCTATGGTTTTGAAAAACGGAAAATTATAAGTAATAGTATGAACAGATGCAGTATTATTTTCTCTAAAAAAAACCTATTTAGACTTTTGCTCTAAAATAATTAGGGGAGCTAGTAATGGACTATAAAGAAATTACCATTGAAATCCCTATGCTGCGTCGCGCTAGGCACCACCCGGTATGGAATTTTACGTAAAATCTAAAAATGAAATAATATACCTAGGTATAAAGTGTTCCGATTCAAAATAAACAAGTGGTCTAGTTATTAACATAGCAATGCTATAGCATCGAATTTGTAACACCCTGTATATTTCTAACAGTTCAAAAGCATTGGCCGATGTTAAATTACCATTACACTTCAAAAATTCCGTTAAACATTACCAACATGCCTGAAAGTTTGTACATCACACTTCTGGAGTCGACTACCTACTCGTTGAAAAAAGTATCATTGAAAACGTCGCCATCAGTCTGCATTCTCCTTCCTATCTTCATCGCTTTAACGTCAATTTGGGGGTAAATGTGAGGGAAAGGCGGTGTAGCTTCTGGAAGAAGCAGGCAAGGCGCTCCCAGTAACCTAGAGAGAGCTAAGCTCGGAAACATTGGTCCTAACCATCATATGCCGAAATAAAAACTCTCTTCAGCGCTAAGTGATACCTGATACCTGACTAGTCGTCTGTCAACCTCCTAGTGCTGCCCCCTAGGAACAATCTCAACACTCCTAACGGAACTTTGAGATTGGCGAATGACAGTAAGACGAACCAAATCGTCAAAGTGGAACAGCTGGCGGCGAGGACTGCATGACCAAGAGAGAGTTTGTACGTCAGTCAACGAACTTTGGGTACCGGGCGCCCCCCAATTTCAGGTAGCCTTTTGGTGGCAGGGGCAAGCTTCCAGTGACCGTTTAAAAGCCCAATGCTTGTGGGACCTTCATGTCCGACAAAGCCCGGTTCTACGATTCGGTTGGCAAGCAAAGCTGGCGTCATGGAGACGGTCCAGTGGTTGGAAAACCACGTCGCAACTGCGAAAGCTCAACATGAAGTTCGAAAGAAAAAGGATCTCCTAAAGCCTCACGTGTTTATGGCTCACTTTTAGGGAGAGGCGGGAGAGTCGACCGACCACATTTTAAAATGGTATACACAACCAAAATGCAGACATTAACGTAAAATCCTGCAAAGAAATCTACCGCAACGTGGTCCAAAACACCACGGTTGACAATACGTCGGTCAATTATCTAGACAAAAATCAGCGATTGGCTTACAAGCTCAGGCGAGTTCTGTTTCCTCGCAGACAGAAAAAGGCCGGGCAAAAACCAATCAAACCAAACCTACTGAGGACGCTGGGTACTCAAAGCCCAAAGAAACCTCGGAAGTAGCCTTCCCTCTTTCAGACTTCATTACAAAATCAGAACCAAATTTGATTAACGCCAGTTTAGAAATAAACTGCACAGCTGTTGTTTTCTCATCACACCGTTGAACTACAAATTTAAATAAACAAAGCGAATTCCGTGCTTAATTCAAAACCGACAACCAAATTTACACTTAAAAAAATTGATATTCCACATACAGGGTGACCCATTATTATTCTAGGTGCAAAGCCCAAACAAAACGTCTGCATGAGGTTGTTTACACAACAGGTTCCTGTCAAACAACCCCATATATTGTTTCGAAGATTACATTAACCTTGTTTTTTTAATTAGCTTATGCGATTAAGAAGTGGGCGAAGGTAGAGCCAATCTAAAAATCAGGTATTTTATTTTTATTTTTATTGTCTTGTTTTACAGTGGGTGACTGGCTAGTAGATTTTTTGACCCACATAATCCGCCGACTTATGCTTATAATTATTATTTATTTATATTATTGATTGAATTATTTATTTTATAACATAATCAAAACACACTATTTCCTAGCGAATCTGAATCAGTGAAGGACAATTTGAGCTTGAATTTTATGCGTGTCAACTTGAAGGAGAAGTAAATTCCTGCATTTTATTTTATAATCGAACCTTGTGTCCATGTATTCAACACAGAGAAACGTTATGAATAAATTTCGGTATCTTAGCAATGTCGAATTACAATCGATGCTCGCTCGCCAAAGTACCCAAACACACTCTACATGCAAATTGAAGCAACATAGTACGTAGGTCGAGTAAAGCACAATTTGTATTCGACAAGAGTACAAAATAATACTAATAATTATTACAAATTCAAATGAACAATTTGTGGGCGCAGTTTAAAAACATTGTATGCATATTAGAATGAGCCCACGTGGTTTAATGTGCCAATATTAAAAAAAACGCATCGCAAAACCGAAGGAAGGAAGGTGTTATCTTAAACAACTTCATTTTCAAGTCAATTCGACATCGTTAAAGTTTAATTAAGAAATAAGTAGGTAACCCAACCGTATGGCGTAAATGTATTTTCAGTTCAACCGCTCGAGAAGAAGAAATCGCGGAAGTTCAAAAAAGGTACACACCTGTGGATTCGCACGCGACATTTAACTATAAGCGAACTTATTTTCTTATTGTCTTTTTGATACGTCAAAAAAATGCTGTTAATAAATCTTAAATAGACGTTTTCAATTAGTTCGTGTCAATCAAAAGCGGATTGGAATTTTTCTTCTTATTGCCTTCGAAACTAAAATTTATCTTTGTCGAATTTTCTCTAACCTACAATTTTTTTTCGATCAATTTAAATGAGACACCTTCAATATTAATGATATTTTGGTCGAAATAAGCATAAAAACAAGACTAAACGTGGTAATTTGAAATCTGTTCTCCTTGGACAAAGTAGATTAATTATGGAACTCGATCAGTTTAAGTGGGAGTCTTTGCGTTGGAAAGTCAAAAAAACAGTTTGAAATTTATACGTCTTTCTGTTTTGTCACAAATCTCCGGACTACTAATTTAGTAATTTAATAAAAGGATGCTGCAAACTGCATTGGACTATGTACAATAAGCAACAAACCCGAAAAAAAATTACTTCACAAGCCAAAAAGAGCTAGAAATGTAAAGAACATTTTAGGCGCTATCAGATGTAATAACGACGAATCTTGAAAAGGGATCGTTATAAATTTAACTTTTATTTGAATCATCACTTTTTTGCTTTTATTTTTTAGATTAAATTCCTATTTACTTCCTTGTTTTGAT